ACTGGGGAAGCACTGGCTCCCCTGGGCCTCCCTGTGAAAGTGAAGTGTGATGGCAGTCTCACAGCTGAGAACACCTGCAGCACAGCCCAGACACTGGACTCAGATCCCAGTTTACACGTTCTAGCTGTGTGATTTGAGGCAAGTTACTCAACCTCTCAGAGAGTAAGTAGGTACAGTAACAGAATTTACTTCTTAGTGCTGGAGGCATGAAAGGGCAGGCATAAAGCAGAGGCCCTAGCCAGGGCTGGTGGCACATGTCTACAATCCTAGAACTTGGGGGTAGAGACAGAGGGAGTACAAGTGTGACTCTAGCCTAGGCAATATAGACAGCTCAAGGCCAGCCTAAGCTATGCAGTAAGATCTTGCTTTAAAACAAGAGACGTCCAGAGGTTAAGAGAACTAACTGGCTGGCCCTCTAGAGGACCCAGGTTCAATTCCGAGCACCAATGGGACAGCTCACAACACCTGCAGATTCATCCCCAGGGGATCTTTCATCGTCTTGTGATGTCCACAAGCACCAGGCACACACAGTGCAGACATACATGCACAGAAAACACTCAGACATGAACTAATATAATTAATAAAAGACAAATTAAACCAAGAGCTGGGGGTATAGCTCAGAAGCAGAGCACTAGCACTAGCATGAAGGCCACTGTGTTTGACTCTTAGCGTAAACAAATAAGTAAACACCACCCTTCCTTTCCATAGTCTACAAACTGCACAGATGTTGCTACTTAGCTTCCTGCTCTAGGTAAGGAGAATTCTAAGAGCCACAAAGGACTTGTGATGAGCAAGCCACACTGAGTCACTAGATATAGGTTCCTCAGGACAAACAACTGTTTTTCATTCCCCATCTCAGAAGCCATAGTTAACAAGCCATTCAACCAAAACAGGTGTTGGAGCTGGTGGGTATGGGGTGAGCCAGACCCATGGACCCACCCACCAGCACCCAGCCTTTGAGGTAGAATTTAGCTTCCCTCTCCACTAAGTCCCAGGGCATCAGATGTGTGGGCTGGATACAGTTTCATCTGCACTAGCCTGTCCAGAGGTGGTAAGGCCTGAATGGAGCTGGGAGGGAAAGAGGCAAAACTGTGCACAATTCTGTCTTGGCAGTTTGCTTATTCAAGGGTGTAGGGGTGGGGAGGCTACCTCCTCTTTACTAGGAATCATATTTAAATTAGGAAAAAGAGGATGCATCTTAGAAATGAGAGGTTGGAAAGGGAAAGAGGGACAGGAGGAATGAAGGCTAAGGAGAAAGGAGGAGGCACATGGTGAATGAGAGGAGAGGAGGGGAGGAGAGGGGAAGGAAGGGGAGGAAAGATGAGGGAAGTGAAGGGGAGGGAAAGGAGGGGAATGGGGATGAAGCAGAGAAAGGGACAAGGGACAGAGTCAAAGGGTGTAGGGAATTATGGCCACTGAAGAGAAAGAAGCAAAACAAGTGAGCAGATTTCACAGACATAAAATTGCTGAACCAGAAAAGCAAGTCTACAAGTACACAGTGGGCAGGGCCTGAGCCTCTGCAAAGGTGACCTCACAGGAGCTGGATATGAAGTCCACATGCCTGGTGCTGAAATGTTTTGTTAATTAGACAAAGCATTGCTATCGTTTCTTATTTCCTTGCTAAGCACCTACAGTATGCAACCATTATTCCAAGCACTGGAGGGAATCAGCAGTGGATAACATGGACAGTTTTTTTTTTTCTTTGTAAAACTTACATTGTATGGTAATGTAAGGTCCAAGACCTTATACCTTAGTTAGGGTATACCTTAGTTAGGAAAAGAGAAACAACTGGGCTGGTGAGATGGGAAAGGTACTTGCTGCCAAGCCAAAGTTATTTTCTGACTTCCACACACATGTGCGCACATGTACACACACACACACACACACACACACACACACACACACACACACACATGCAATAAACTCTTGAGAAAGAGAAAAGGGCATTTGAGAGGTAGAGACAGAAGGATCATGAATTCAGAGTCAAGTTTCAGCTCTATACTGAATTCAAGGTCAGTGTAGGCTACCAGATATGGGAAAGAGGAAGGGAAGAAAAGGCGGTTAGGTAGGTTTGAGTGCTGGAACCCACATGATGGAAAGAGAGAGCTAACTTCTCCTCCAAACTCCATACACACACATAAAGAACTAGATAAATAAAGAAGTAGGCAAACGTGTGGTGTTTTAAATGAAATGTCCCCCATATTCTTGGAAACCTGAATACTTGGTCCTCAGTTGGTGGTACCATTTAGGGAGGCTTAGGGGGTGTGGCTTTGCTGCAAGAAAGGGTGTCCCTGGCGGTGGGCTTTAAGGTCTTAAAATCCACATGCCATTCCCACTCATCTCTGTTTGCTGCTTGTGGCTTCAGATAGGAGCTCCCAGCTGTTCCTGCTGCCATGACTCCCTGATAGTGAGGAACTCATACCTCTAGATTGAACCATAAGCCCCCAATAATCCCTTCCATCCATAACTTGCCTTGGCCATTTGTTTTTATCATAGCAACAGAGAAGTAGCTAATATGAAATGTAATACTTTTTTAAAAACAAAGAGGAGTGCTTGACATGCATGAGGGCCTGAATCCGACACTTGACACTAAAATCAAAATATAAGCCAGGGCATGTTGATGCTGGGTCACAGGACTCACTGCAGAGGCCATCCCCCTTCCCCATCTCAGCCTCCACTGTGGAGGGGAAATGGGTATGTGCAGTACTGGCTTAGACTTGGGTGACTTGAGACCCTGGGTTCTGTTATATTCCTGAGTTAACTCAGATAACCCACTCCCTCACTCAGGCCCCAGTTTACATGCCTGTAAAACTGGAAGAAGGATCCCTGCACAGCAGAGTACCAAGGACAATGTAGTATGAAAATTCTGGACTGTACACACAGAAGGAGAGGATCCCCCTTCCCCTGCAGCCTCATTCTTCAGAGTTATCAGAACTCACCAGCAATACTAAGTGAGAGAAGTGGTGGGTACTCACAGGGGGGGTGCGTAGCTTCATCTTTCACCCTGCAAATATGTTCCTGAGGAGCACCAGCCGGGTCCATGGAATTTAGGCAGCAGCCCTGGGACAGCAGAGGGTGAGTCCTCCACCTTGGGCCACTGGGACTTTGTCTGGGAGACACTTGAAGCAAGATGGGCTCAAGAGCAAATAAGCTTGGGTACTCCAGTGTGTACACTTGCCTCTGGAAGAGTCCCAGGGCTCTGAGAAGACACAGTGCAGTTAACTCTAGTTAGCATACTTAGCCATGATGCCCCCACCTCTTACTGTGTAGTCTAAGCTGGCCTGAAACTCACTATATAGTCCAGACTGATCTTGAACTTATAGCAATCTTCCTGTCTCAGCTTTCCAAGTGATAGAAGTAGTAAGTCATTACACCTGGCTTCTCTTTTCCTTTTTGTTGGAGAAATAGCCAACATATTCATAAAAAGGTTCATCTTGGCTCACAGTTTTGGAGGTTCTGGTCCAGGATCACTTGAGCATGCTGCTTTGGAGTTCTGTGGTAAGGCAGCATGACGGAGTGAAAAAAACTCACTCCATGACCAGGAAGAAAAAGAAATGACAATGCCAGTCATAGTGGTGCACACCTGTAGCCTTGGCTCTTACACAGGCGGGTCAAGAGTTCAAAGATAGTCTGGGTTGAAAAGTTAAGACCCTATGAAAAATTAACAAAAATTACTGTAATACCAGTACTCAGGAGGCTGAGACGGGGTATCGAGAGTTCAAGGCCAGTGTGTGCCACATAATGATACCCTGCCTCAATAAACCAATAAAAATGCCTGCAATACCAACACTCAGAAGCCTGAGACAGGAGGACAGACTTTAAAGCTAGCCTAGTCTATATGGCAAGACCCTGTTTATAAAGAAAGAGGGAGAGTGTCCTGGCTAGTTTTATGTCTACTGAAATAGTTTTATGTTATCTGAAAGGAGAGAATCTCAATTGAGAAAATGCCTCCATCAGATCTGATTGTAAGGCCATTTTCTTAGTGACTGATGAGGAGGGCCCAGCTCACAGTGGGTGGTGCCACTCCTGGACTGGCAGTTCTGGATTCTATAAGAGAGCAGGCTGAGCAAGCCATGAGGCACAAGCCTGTAAGGAACACCCTCCATGGCTTCTGCATCAGCTCCTGCTTCCAGGGTCCTGTCCTGACTTTCTCCAGTGATGGACTACAATATGGAAGTGTAAGCTGAAATAAGCCCCTTCCTCCCAACTTGCTTTTTGGCCTTGGTGTTTCATCACAGTAACAGAAACTCTTGTTAACACTGAGAGGAAGGGAGGAAGGAAGAGGAGGAGAAAGAAGAAGAAGAGAAAACTAAGGGAGGAGGGAAGGGAGGAAGATGGGGGGAAGAGGAGAGGAAGGAGAACCTGGGATTCACAGCCTCCTTCAGGAGTGTGCACATAGTTTCTAAAGACCTGAGTAGGGCGTAATTGCTTAAAATTTTCACCATCTTCCAATGGCAACTTTCTGGGAACTAAATCTCTAACATGGAATATTTGGGGTCTAAGTCATACCTGGAATCACCTTAAAGCTACCCTGGGACATTCTGGGCTGAGATCTGGGAAGGATTGAGAATTGTCCCAAGGAGACATCTGGGAAGGTGGGCTTATGGGATTCAGTGACATCATCATCTAATGTGTGCCTATCACACAACAGAGGCTTATAAGCAATTAACGGATGGATGCTAGATATTGTCTTATTCACTGCTAAATGTTAAGAATGCAGGAAAGAAGGCAAAAGTAATTTGAACCACAAGGTCTTAGAAAAGAATCATTCTTAGCTTTCACAGAATCACATATTTTGCTAGAGAAATGATAGAATCCATTCATTCATTCACCCATTCATCCATCCATCCACTCACAATGACAGGTTGGTAAGGATACTACAGGGATTAGCATGGGGAATCACAGAACCTCAGGATACATGATAAACTGGTAAGTATACTGCAGGGATTAGCATGGGGGCCACAGAACCCAAGAGGGGATGATGACTTGAGCCCAGGGTGATGGAGGCCACAGACAGTTTTCTGAAGGTGAGTCTGAAGGACTGACTAGGGGGTCCAGCATTCATGCCCATTTTATAACCACAGAAGTCACACCTGGTACCTCTTAGAATCCACATGTCACCTGAAATCTAATGGTCCCCCCTTCACCCCACATTCCCTTCATTCCTTTTTGCTATCAACTGCTTGTCAGACTTCCCACATCCAAGGAAAGCATGCACATTCTGCAGACAGCTGAAGAGACTCAAAGGAACAAGGATCTAGTGGCGAAATTCCAAGCAGGGTGAAAAATAAATGGGGAGCAATCTGGATGCAAGGGGCATCCCTACTCAGGACCCCTCCCCATGACATTTTTCAGTGTCTCAGACAAGCCACTTGCCTCATACTCTCAACATCTGTCAACCAGCCTTTGTACCCCTGCAAACAGCAGTATGACTAGACCTTTAAATTGGGAAAATGCTTCATCATGCTCTGCTTCGCCATGAGAAACTAGAAACTCCCTCCCCCCTCCTCCCTAGTGCACTCTCCTTCCAGTAAAACGTGGTTAAAGGGACAGTGCCATCACTTCCCTAGCTATGAGGGTTAGACTGCAGCCAGGGGTTGGGGATAAAACAGAGGGCAAGGAGAGGGGCAGGCAGAGGTCTTTTTTAGTCAATCTGTCAGTTTCTGTCTTGAGATCCCTCTAGAAAGAAAACCACAGTAAACTGGGGTGCTGTGGGACTTGAGGTAGTTTCCTGGGAGAAGTGCAGCGCTAGTCATTGGGCATTGGAGTGGGCTTCTCTCTGCTTCGGGTAGAGGAGGTTTGCAGGGAGAGAGAGCTTCAGAAAAAGCCAGAAACTGGACAGGATATGCGGGGGCGGGTCACTTACATGCAAGGGTAGATCACTTCAAGATCCTGCCTTATGACTCATCTACTTCCCCCCAGTTCTCATCCCACAGCACAGGGTTGTGGCTTGTGAGAGCCTGGACCCTCCCCACTCTGTGAGGCCTAGATCAACCCTTCCCACTGGTCTCTGTCCCTGGTGCTGAAGTGACAGCGGCACGGAAGCCTCCACTAACATGCCCTTTGACAGGAAGACTAAACCAAGAACAAGCCATATGACAAAGCAAGGACTCCGGGTCTGACACACACACATCCCGCAGCGCTTTTACCTGAATGTTCTGTGGGGCTCATGAGGGCGGTGGACTTTGGCACTGAGAAACCACCCACCACTTCCTTGGGAACATGAAGGGATGCCTATGGTACTGGCTATTGTGGAGATAGGAGTGAGATGACAAGATGAAACTGAGAAAAATCAGCAGAGGAAGGGAGAAGGCCAAACTTCTCAGGTGTGGCAATGTGGGCTACCTTCCCAAAATTCAACCAGCGATCCCCCCAGCTGGAAGCTCCTGGGGCTACTTGGGGGTTTGGAATCGAATCTGGTCTCTGTTGTTCACAAGGGAAAACCAAGCAGAAGGGAACAGATTTGCACAAGGTCATTCAGCTAGCAAAGCACAGCGCTGACCCCCTCCCCCCGCCCTTGGGTGTTCTCTGATTCCACACTCAGAGCAGCGTTTCGCTGCCTACTCAGGGACCCTCTGCTTCTTCTTCGAGGACAGTTTCGCTTGCTGAGCAAGATGCAGTCTCCACTTCCAGTCTTAGCCACAGGACTTTTTGGAGAGCGCCAAGTTCCCCTCCCGTCCTGCGTTCCCTTTCTCCTTCTGCAGTTTCCTATGTTCCCTCAGGGTAGCTCTGCAGTCCTTTCAAACTCCACGTCCCCCTTTTCTACCCCGATGTCAGCTGTAGAGTTCCATAAGCGTCCCCCCCCCCAGTGGCCGCTCTAACTATCCTCAGGAAAGCACTGTACCTTCAGCTACGGGGTCCCCATCTACCCTCGATAGCGTGCATCATGCAACACCATTCAGAATCCCTTCGTGGGTGGTTGCGGTCTCTACACTCTTCATCTCCAGGTCCCCTCTAACTATTAGGGAACCTTGTGTCGCCTCTCATAAGGGGTCCTTGCATACTCATCATTGCAGAGTCACTTCAACCCGCAGCCACCCTGCCCCGTCAGTTCTCAAGCCTTCTCCCTACTTCCTAGGAGTACCCTCTCTTATTCTGAGCACACCAAGAGGGTCTTCCTACATGCACCTGGAGGTCTGCACTTGTCCGCTCCGTAAGTCCTTTACTCCTTGGTCTGACCTCGGGAGGCTTCACTGACGATGCGAC